AAATGTTTTGAGGAAAAACAAAACACAGCTGCAGCCTGAGTAAGGAAAGTAAACTAAGCAGGTGTGGCCTCTGCAGATCTCTCTACAAAGCTGGGCAGCGTTGGGGAATGGGATTACTAGCCTTGTGCATGCCTTTGGAAAGACAGGCAGGAAGATAGCCGAAGTGCCTAGAGATATTTAAAACCAAGTATGTAATCCCAGGACTGAGGAACATCAGGAAGTAAAGCACCATTTTGCTATGTGAGACAGTCCGTGAGGAAGGGAATGTAAAAAATTAACTATCTGCAGGTACATGAGACTTTTGAATTACTTGAATGTAAGTGTGTATTTACTGTTGGAAGAGCATGAGAAACGGATGATTTTCACCTTGATCAAAAGAACACATTTCATAATGGGAAACAGAGCCTGTTGTGAAAAACTAGGAAGGTTCTCCCAGGGAACTATGCATACGACTGTTATTTAAACCACATTTTGTACAAAGAAATGTTTTGTATTTGCTCTAGCTTATGTGGCCTGGACACTTCTGAGTAGATTGTACCAGTAAGACTATAAAACCCTGACAGTAATTAGTAAATGAAACCAGAAATGCCTCCACTAAAGACAGTTGCGTAAAATAAAAGTGAAAACAGTATGAGATCACAACTGGCCCATCATTAGATCCATAGGGGATCACCCTGTGAAGTCAGTAGCAAGGTTGCCACTAATGTTGCACAGCTGAAGGCATTATCCAAAGAGACAGTGGGAAGGGCCAGCAAGGAGAAACAAGAGAAAAATGTTACCAACTGTAAATAAAAGTAGTAGCAAAATAAGCCTGCTGGTTTGGGTGGGGGCTTTTTCAGAAATGTTCTAGCCTAAGCTCTCTTCAAGCCTTACTCCAGTATGGTAAGACATACCTGTCTTACCATTTTCCTTACATACAGGTAAATAAAATGCATAGGTGAGTGAACGGGCACATCACTGCCTGGTCATCTGTGGTGCATCTGGAGCTCTCTCAATATCCTGGGCTACAATAAAACATGCAGTGGCACTCTGATTTCAGGAAGAGATTCCACAAAGTCTTTCTTTACATTTGGATTTCTCCCTTACATTCTGGCAAGCTAAGTAGGGACATAACTCTGTGACTAATGTTAATGTTGCAGTAGTAAAATATTGGGCAAAAAATAGGAAAACCAGACCCACCTGCCCATAAGAATGATTTAATTAGTTTCCACTGTTCCAAAATAGGTATGTTCCACATCATAAAGAATTTTTCTGACATGAAATTTAAGAGGAGGGAGAATTCTGTTTGCAGCAAGCTGACTCTATTGGTAGGCGATTAAATATTTCTTTGGATTGCTGTTCAAAATTAATTACTCATTAATGTGGAAAAAACAGATATAGTCTTGCTGTGGATTCAGAGGTTTCCAACTGGGTGCATCTACTTCCAAGAAGAAAAAGAAAAAAAAAAGACCTAGAAAGAGTGTTACAATTACTGTCATATGAAAACCTGCTTCAGTCCAGATGTAGAAGCTGATACCACAGAAGTGTTAACATCTAGCAGTTTGCTGCAGGGCAGTGGCAAATGAATCTTACATATGTTTGCGTGATGGACATATTATGTGAGCCTTCTAGAATCCCTTGGATTTGTTTTCTTTTTTTCAAAGCTCCTACAGAAAATGCAAATCTACAATAATCTGAGGTTTTGGACAGTGTCACAGACACCTCTGTATAAAACTTGGATCCTAAACTTGCATACCTAACCAACGTTGTCAACTCTCTGCCCCCACAAATAATTCCACTGAAAGTAATGAAATTAGTGGTGTGAGTAAACGTTAAAGAACTGGTTCCTAATGTCAGGTTTTCCCCTTCAGTGTACAAACAAAGCTTGTTGCTCTGTGATGACCTAGGGGCTTGCAGTGAGGATACAGGATTGGGAGAAGTGTCTGGTGTTAGGAATCACATCTTCAGAAGTTCAGATCTATTTAGCAAGGGAGTCCGTCCTCAGGAATCAAAAAATAACAATGACGACAAATGCTATGTGCAGAATTCCTACTGCAGGCAGTAGCAGCTTGCATGCAGAAAGATTTCAGAAGTGAGTAACATAGCTAACTTGCCTTTTTCTCCCCAAATTTTATGAATTTGACCAAACTCTATGTGGCTTCAGCCTTAATAAAAAACAATAAAATTCTGGGATGATTTAGGCTGGAAGAGCCTCTGAGTGACTTGTCTAATCCAAGTAATTACATTTCAACCCAAATTGATTTCATTATCCCTAAGTCATTTATTGAAATAAATGGAGTCAGAAGAGATCACAGAGTTTAATTATTGGAAACATTGGTTGGCACTAAGTTTGGAATTAAAATTATTCACTTTGAAGTCCTTAAGTGCACAGTATGACAATACCAGTTGTCAAGGAACATTTTTTCCTTGGTTAAAAAGGACAAGCTGAGCATAAAATGGAAGAATGAAACCTTGAATTATCCACATAAGATAATTCTTCCTGTCAACTGGAGAGTTACTTGCTTTAATTCTCTTACCAAGTCATTTCCTTTTCCATGCAGAGATAGGTGCAAGAACTTGGCGACCAATTTCCTAAAATATAAAAATCTGAAATGACACCAAACAAAGTTGGACTGATGATATGATTATGCATATTAAACAGCATTGGCCTCACTATTGATGCTCTAGGAAAGCCAATTGTAACTATTCAACTGTTAAGACTTCAGACTGGGGTAGATGCCTGTCACTTCCCTACAGAAGGTGATCAGGCTGGTCAGACATAATTTGCCCCTGGCCCTGGTCACCTTCTTGTCCTTCATGTGTGGAAGTAGCAAGGTTTGGTAATGATTTTGCATCTGCTTTGCCACAGCTGACATGATGTTCTAAAACTTGAGTCATATCCCCCCTCAACTTCCTCCCCTCCAAACTGAAGACTACTTTTAGACTCCCCTTTTAATGCAACTCCTCCATCTTCTTGTTCAGTTTAGTTGCCTTTCTCTGGCTCTTCTTTAAACTCGCTACATCCCTTTGGAGATGAACACTGATCTGCAGCAATGCAGTGAGAGGGATCCTACTGGAGTGCCATACCATCGTTCAAACAGCCAAAGTAAAGGCTTTGGTTCACTCACCAATAGTTAAGAAGATGGAGGAAAAGGAAAATAAGGAGTTTGGCTTGGCAATCTGGAAGCAGTCACTGGCACAGCAAAACAGAGAGAAAACAGTACTGTATACGCAGTATATCTACAATGACTGTGCATTACGGTCAGTGGAATGGATGGAGTCCATCTTGCTTTGAGATTTAAGGAGTAATACAACATGGAGTATGACTTTAGAAAAATATCTGGGAAGGAGACTATTCAACTATTCATCTTGTACATTACTATTTCCTTAAATCAGTATATTATATATATAAAAAAACAACCCTCCATCTACAGAGGAACCTCCTTTGTAGGTGCTGCTGGTATTTCTATTTGTAGATTATTTTATTTTGAAAAGAGATTTGCTCTATCATGACACCTTAAAGAAGGATCCAGATTTTCCCAAGCAGACAGCAGTTTTAAGAGCAGGTTTGGGACACTCCTGCAAGCAAAGATCCTGTTGTAAATCTAGTATATAACAAGTTGTGCATCAGATTATTTGCTACAGATACATGTGTTTTTCAGTTTTTCCTCTTGGCAGTTCTAAGTTTGCCACTCTCACTTTTGCCCCAAAACCCTGTGTGGTGGAAAGCATTCTAGCAGATCATCTACTACATTTTTTTAAAAAAAAATAATTCAGTTTAGTATACTTTCTTTACAGCTTGCATTGAGCAAGGGATTATTAGTACAAGTAGCAGAAAAAAAGAATATTTATTTTAGTGCTCTCATCTCTACAGTAGCAGTCAAAAGTTGGTGAAGAAAAATACTGAAGCCTAAATCTCTCTCCAGACAAGTTTGTTACGCGGAGCTGTTCAGGACAACATGTCACATTTGGCTAGAAAAATTACATGTAGATATGCAAGCCTCAAACCATCAGAACCATACCAACAATTTAATGTATCTTTTTAAATTATACAAAAGTCTCCCCCAAATTATTCAAACATTAACAACTGATCCACTTAGTACAAAACCAGTTCCCTTAGGCAAAACAGTAGAGGAATGTACCTTTCATTTTTAATTAAACATTATCATTGAAAATTATACTATGTATGGATTTGACTAATTATTATTCTAAATGGTGTTTTGTCCTAGTTTCCTTAGGCAATCTCTCCACACCTTTGATATGCCACAGCGCACTTCTAATACACATGTATAAAGCTGTCTACACCAGCTCTTTAGAAACAAATAGTACTGTTTAGTTTCAGCTGTACTGAGTTAAACAACATTGAAATTGTGTATAAACCATCAAGGACATTCAAAATCTTGAAGCCTGTGTAACAAGAGGTGATTCCAAGCTGAGTCTGTCCCCAACCTAAACAGAGGGTGCCTTAAAGGCAGTTCACCCAGGAAACAGGGTGGAGGCACTGGATTTTAGCCTGTACCAGACCTTTCTGCAAAATCCTCCCATGCCCTACTTGACAAACATACCGAGCACCTACTGTTCCCCTACCCTGCTGAATCCAGTGGATCATGTTCTTAGGCCAACAAGTAAATCAGCAACCCAGACTGTCTTCCCATCCTCTCTCACTTAGTCTTCAGGCTCCACATCACCTAAGTCTGCCATAATATTCAGAACCAGGTTTCCTTTACAGCAAATTGATCAACAAACAACACATTTTTGACTACTGTCATGAACATGAGAAAGCTACAGAAAGTACATGGCTCGGAGATCTCACTCCAAACTCAGGGAGCCACCTAACCTCAGCAAAGGAAACAAATTCAGAGTCATAGTAATTTGCTGCTTCCACCTGGTAAGAGGGAAGGGATTTACCATGGCTCTGGAAAATGCCCTTTAGGAACAAGGGGTTTACAGTGCTCAGGAGGCAGAGCTGTGAGCCTGCTAGCTCTAACATGATCATAAAGTGAGGCAGGGGACTAATCCCCTTCTTCTAGCTGTTGTGGCTGCTCAGTGACCAAGTGTCACTCTACCCTCATATTAACTAACACTCTCCTCAGTAATGAAAAGAGTGCTGCCTGCTACTCAGCTCTTCTCCAGCCCATTTACTGTTTAGAATATACAGATTGGTCTCCGCTTGTTTCTTCTGGGGAAGAAGATGGTTGGCCAGGCTCACAAACCACCCCTGAATCCTGACTGTCGGCTTCAGTAGCTGAAATAAAAATGAAGAATAGAAAAAGGTCAAACACAAACAAGCCAAAATCCCCAAACCCTATATTTCTGTTTGCGTTGCCCCTGGTATCAATCACATTTCCAGAGGTAAATTCTCAATGCAAAACTTTTGTCAATCCAGTTTGTTTTTCAACCCAGTTAATTCAAAGGTACTTGACATCAAGAGTTGCAGCTCTCCGAACTGAGATACTGCACTTCAGACAGCAGTTGATTGTTTCAGCCATGCTTAAAGAAATGTAGCAAGAGTCCTTCAAGATGGCAAGTGCTGAGGCTGCACTGGAATAGAAGCATGAGGCAGACTTCTGCCCACTTAACTGCAGTGAATCTGTGCCATGCCTTTTTAACACTCCTGTGAATTCTCAAAGGCCTTGACAGACTGAATAATCCCTTCTTCAAATCCAACTAGAGATTTTCATTTTATAAAGTATTTACTTGCCAATTTGCATTAAAAACTCCCTCATTTCCTCACAGATGACTTGGGGTTTTGTTTGTTTTTCTGTGGCTTGCTCTTTTAGAAAGCCAACAACCTGCAATCAGACTCTATCCTCTGATGCTGTACTGGCTGTTTTACTGGACATACCTTGTGTTTATTTTGTCAAATCTCCATAACATTACTAGTCAATATTGCATGAAATTGTGTAACAACATGGCCTATACTTCACCATTGTAAACGTAACTGGCCTCAGTCATTCAACTGCAGTCAATTATTGGCTCAAATCTTTCTGGTAGCAGCTTCTAGCCTTGGAAAATCTTTTTCAGACAGGGCTTGTTTGGGTTTTTTAATTTGTCTTCATCTCAGATTCCCTTCAGGGTAGAGATCACAGACATTTCTTCTCACCAGTTGTCCCCTGTTGCAGTTTTATATATCCATTTTCCTCCAACAGTTTTGCCAGAAAGCCCATTTCACCTCCATTCTGGAGGTCTCTCTGGAGGAAGGATGTTCCCAAGTCTAGTTGCAGGTTTGAGTCAGTTCCTTTCTTGGGAAAAAAGACATGATACAATCCTAACACATCCCTATGCACTAAATCTTACAGCTTTTCTCTTTTTTCAAGCGTCCTGAATACCACAATCAAAATTAGTTTCACTGTAGTTTCCCTCTACATCTGCCATCTTCTGCTGGCAGGCTATTTTGTATATGACCTCATGCAGAAGTATCCCCCCTCACTGGGTCACAATTGCAAATTCCTACATATCCTGGAGCACAAATGCTATGTAGTGCAATTCATTTGTACTTTCTCCCTAGTACTAAGAAAACTGGATTGTTCTCTGAGCAGCACAATCCATGATGCATTGTTTCCTATGGCTTTGTGCCTGGGTTGTGATTTCCCTAGTGTGTAGTAAGGGCTGAAGTCATTAGATGGCATTTTGCTCTCTGCGGGGGTGCTCTCATGACCTCTCTTCTCTATCCAGTTGCCTGTTTTCATGATTGTTTGGCCAGTACAGCTTCACTCTACCAATACAGGACTGGATTTCCTCTGTTTTCCTCACGCAATACCACTACTTCTCTCCATGTCCCCCATGTTTGTCTGCTACTCCCAGTTCCTTCCCATTCCCACAGGCTCCAACAGAATAGCTGCAGCTCCCTACATGTTCTCTGCCACTGGAGTATCCCTCAAATCTTTTGTCCCCTCTAAATCACAAAACCCATTAATCCTCACATACACTTTCTGGTTTGCGTGCCAGCCCTCGTTTTCCTCTCTTCCCCTCAAATTCGGCCCATATTATTTCACCTCCAGCACCCCAGTATCTCCTACATGCTGCATTAAAGTCCTAATGCCTTTGTTAGTATCTTAAAATAAGTTTACATTTCTATGGTGTCTGTACACACACACCCCCCACCCCGGCCATATTCTTCATATTCCCCTTGTCCACCACATCTCCTGCTTACTTTTCTTTGGCTTTCCAGCTGGAGAAGCAGCAGGTATGCTCAGACTGCTCTGGAGATATGTGCCCAGTGCTGGGTTGATTGGCAGGCACTGGTTGTTGGCCAAGGCACACACACATCAGTCAGGAATTAAGTGCAAGCTGACAGCCAGCCAAACACCATGACATGGCTGCAAACAAATGGTTTTGTGGGAGGCATCTGCTTCCCTTGCAGATCAATATTGTGTAAGCCTGTGTTCACAACAGATAGTTTGGCTGAAAATAACTAATGGGTTGAAAAGTTAAGAGAGGACTGACATTAACAGAAAATGAGACTGCACGAGCCTTATGTTGGTTGTCGAGAACAAGGCCAAAAAAACCTCAACTTCTATTTTGTCCCACATAACCATCATCAACATCTTTTCAGTTCAAATAAGATAATTATACTCCTCTATTTCTCCTCTCTCTTATATAGGAAATTTGAGTTTTCACTGGGTGATTATTGTAATCTGTTTCATAAACAGATTAACAATTTTTTATTCTCATGTTCAAGAAGAGAAATAAAGATGTATTTATTTATCTGCATTTTCAAAAAGAATTTAAAATAAAACTGGCTATTCACTCATCCAGTGCTAGTGGTTAATTCTCTGAGCAGTTCTACCCTCTTGTGGTCACAGCTGGCTGCAGCCAAATGAAAAACTTGCAAATATAATCACAAATATGTCCACATGAAGGCACAATACATGAAAGAGACCCAAAAGAGAGGGGCAAAAAGACTTAACCTATGCCAGAAATTTAAAATCCTGTGAGATTCAATAAAACAACTTGAGATTTTGAAGATGCAATCTTTCATTTACAGCAAGTAAAACGTAGGATTTTCAGATGAGCAAGAAATTTTGTATTATTCATGCTAAATGTTAGTCTGCATTTTTAAAAATATCTTGTCTAAATTGCAACAGAGCCAAATAATTTTTAAAATATGTCTGCAAACTAGCTATTTAGAAGAATATTTTCATTTTGAGAACATCAACAGATCATATTCTGGAATAGCTCTGAGTCCTGGGGCCTTCAATGTCTGCATGAGATTCAGGTGCTTCTCAGCTGGGAAGCGCAAGCCTGTCAGGCTGCTTCCCCTAAGTCAGCCCTTCCCAGAGCTGTACAAGCTGGCAATCTGTCCTGGGACTTCAGGATCTCAGCTCTGGCTCTATCACAGGGATCTGGGAACCCCTGTAAACTAGCTAGAATCAGGGTCTCTTGGGGCTTCCATCTCTGTGGTTAGATACTGAAACCAGGTTAAAACTGGATCTCCCAGGACTCATTTCATGCTTCCTTACCATGTGCTTCCTTGGCCGTTTCAGCCAACACGCTCAGTGAAAGGGGAGGTGGAATGTAACGAATCCCTGGCAGAAAACTTGGTGGGAGGAACTGAGTCAGAGGAGTGTAGTATCCTTGATGGAAATCTCCACCTCCATCTGGAATCTGCAGAAACACAGGAAGCAAACCATCTACTATCTAAAGACTGTCTCCAGGATACATTTACAGCATCAATCAATTTCCGTTTCAATTTTTACCTGTGAATATTACATTTTTTGTCCATTTTGTGGCCATATACTGCCACATCCATGCGTGTATTAGCACATGCAAAGCCTGTGCATAGTGTAACATGCTGAAACTGAGAACTAGCAGCTTCTCAGACCATGTCTCCGCTGAAACTGACCTTCTAAGTCCTCGTCACCTGTTCTGGCATCTCATTAGAGCAGTTGATTTAAACCAGGAGTAGCTCCCATTCACCACTGCACTTGCCACTGAACAGATCTGGAAGTCTTCATGCAACAGAGAGGCAACCTAGGAAAATGCTCCTTGCCACCACCTCCCTGCTATTTATGGATTCTCCTGAGCCCCATGAAGTGAGTGGCTCTACCTACACTGAAGGGCTGGTGTGCACCACAGGGTGCCCCACAGCCCTGGTTTTCTGTGAGCACCAGACCTGTTAGGGCATGATAAAACTCATTCCATGAGCAAGGAGATATTTCCATCTCTCAGAAATACTAGCATCAGAGAAATAGAGGCATTTTTCTCTTGGATCTGGCCATACACCCTGGTACAGATAAAACTTGTATGAGATATTCCCATCTGTTTCAGGACAGTTAATTTTTGTTAAAGTTCAAAACCACATACAGTGATTGTCTAGACAAGGCATTTCCCAAACTGTGTATATCCAGCCCACTAGGATAATTTATCTGGACCTCAGACTGCTGCTAGCCACCATCTTTCTCAATAACCCCTAAAATGTGACAGAGAATTTCTATGCAAGCATAATAAATCTAGCAGTTTTGAGGCAGATCACTCTGCCTTAAAATCAACTGCTGAATTGTACTCAAAGCAGGCAAATGGCGCATAGTAGCTGGAAATCTGATAACGTGCCCAACTCTGGTACAAAAACAAGACACCACCAGTTTAAACCAACATGACTGACAGCACTGAAAGGAACTGGAAGTGCCCACACACACCATTACAACTGACAGACAATTTAGCATCTCGTTTCTTACCATGTCTGTGTGGTATGAAGGCATGTGTCCTATGATGCTAAACGTAATTTTTCATCTGACACTTCTGTTAACCACAACAATTTTCCACTGTTTTTGAGAAACCAAATGTCTCAAAACAGAAATATCCAGCCATACTGATTTGCTTCCTTGTGGAAGCTGATTTTCCTGTGTTCTTCTCTGTGACTCTGGTGCCTTGGCCAAGCCCTGACACTCTCCTTCCCCATTAGATTTGCCCTGCATGGAAGAAGAGGAACCTCCCAATGCGCATTCTGTGCCATCTACGCTGGCACAACATGACCATACTAAGTGTCCCAACTGCCATCATTCTGAAAGGCTGTTGCAAATGTTAGCAGGATGTATAAGCCGCAAAACACTTCACAAAATCTGGCCCCTTGCAAGTGCATGGGTTTGGTCTGCTGGTTCAGGTCAGACTATTAACATCACCATTTGCTAATGTCTTCTTCAGCATAATATATCAAAACACTGTGAAGTAACTGATAAGCAGGATAACTTTTCGTGGGTACTCTATCAGCAAGAAGGCAACTAAAAGCAAAGACAGCAGTATTTCCAGAGGTAATTAAAAGACCACTACTTACTGACACAGAAGTTGCATTCCCTGGCCCATAGTTGCTAGGAATGTGTCGGAAACCTCTCTGAAGTGATATCCCTGGAGGTGATGGTGCTCCCCTACAGCTTGACTCACTGATGGCAAACCCCATGGGAAATGGGTGGTAAGGATATACTCCAGAACACCCAGGGTATACTTTCGGAGGTTCCCTCTCCAGGTATTCTGGGTTGACCATGTATTCTGGAGGAAAAGTAGGGTGAGCTAGGAAACAATGAGAAAAGAACAAATAAAAGTATCCATATAATTCTATGGAGTTCAGTAGAAGGAGCTGCAGGACCAAATTCCACTCTCAGGCAGGAGAATCTGGCCCTTTGGTTTCATGCTTAGCTCCTCATCACTTTATTTTGTGATTTTTTAAAGAACTAAGGGAAGGTGCAGCAGATGATACTGTAATGTGGAATGATCTGCGTCCTTTTCTGCCTTGTGCATTGTGAAGCTAGTCCTTAGTAAAGTACTGGCTGCAGAATCTTATTCTTTCAGTACATCAGCAACAGCAAAACAACCTACCTTAAGACTTTTAACTCTAGCAGAATTTAAAACAAAGATCTACAGAAGTAATAGAGTTCTAACTTTAGTCCTATCTGTCACTTCTTAAGTTAATTTACAGACAAAGGCTCAGTTTTAGGGACATACACAGGCAATTTCTGATGGAGGAATCAGTTACTTCCTTTGTTTTTTATCTTGCATCTGGAATCTTATATGGCCTCTGAAGTCTTAAAAAAAGAGAGTGGTTCTTTGAATATGAATAGGGTCTGCACGACCTCCTGTTGGTAGAGAAGTGGAAGAATTTGCTTCGAGAGTAGGTCAGCTTCTGGAGTACTAGAATTAACTATGTGTCCCTAACCTTTTTCTAAATTGATCAGTTAGAAACGTTATTAAGGGAAGGACTGACAGGCACATGTACAGCTAGCATCATTCATAAACATCATTTTCTTGGGAAACAAAGCTTAAAAAAAGGGCAACAGTTATTGACAGATTAGGTGAGAACTGGAGTGTCCAAAATGAGTCTCTCCTCTGGGCTTCTCAGAACAGCATTTTGTCTTGCAGGCTGCCAACTCTCCAGAGGCTCAGACTAATGACTACTGCAGTCAGTAGAGATTTCTGTAAAATTACTATAGTAAATAGTAATAGTATGAAGTTACTGTAATAAATAGTAATAAACTAGACAAGTCACATGAAAGACTCTATTAAAGGAAGCAATTAAGAGGTGATAGACCATACAACCATTCCACCTGCAAAATCTATGCTCTGCTCTTAAACACCAAATGCACTTTTACACCAAGTGATCCCGGCCAAGTTCAGTCTTTGCTACAGGAATTAAGGCCAAAAGGTCTCCTTCTTTTACAGTGCTGTCATAAAATGCTTGCTTCAGGCAACTGCAGCAGTAACTTCCCCATTTACCTGCCATCACTGAGGTTTTTAGCATTTTTGTTGCTGGATGCTTGTGCCTGTGAATTTATGAACAGTGAGACAGCACTCAGAAAAACTTGCACAAGCACTGGTTTGGTTTCTATCGCAGACTAATTTCCCTCTCAGAGAAAAACCACTTGCTTAAGCTTTGCAATGAGCGGCGAGGCTGAGCACATTGCTCCTGCCCCTGCAGAGCCACACAACCCACGCTGCAGACCCTGCAAGTGGGAAAATAAATGCAGGCTTGCACATTCAACATGCAAGCTGAGTACCTG